ACTTTCAGAGGTTTGAATTCTGAATCTGACCGAACTTCTCCTTTAAGCCCAGGGTGACTGTGGTTCTTCTACAGATTCAGGTATCAGAGGCTGGTTCTGGTGGATCCAGACCAGAGACGGAACCAAACATCAGCCTCCTGATATCTACAGCCCATATTAGTGGCTTATTATTTTGTGCAGTGTTTCCCAGCCTTGGGGCACCATCTAGGGGTGGCACAGTGTTATTGCAGGGGTTGTGGTAGAAATGAACTAAATAAATGATGCAGTTTAAGTTGTTTAATTTAATTTATTAATTAATAAATATTGAAAATGAGGAAAACATTTGTTTGTACGTGTCATTTAGATAATTGTTCCGTTATTAACGATACAATGGAAACAAATCTGATCAAATAAAGTTGCTCAGCTCATCCTAAACCATTCATTTAAAAAATATATATTTAGGAGAATAAAATATGTAAAGAAATAGTTTGGAGCCATTTTTATGGCCCAAATTTACAGGCAACACATTTACTTCTTTACAATTAAAAAAAGGAAGCAGAATTTCATTGTCTTATTTCAAGTGTATATTATCAAATTATCTTATTTTAATAGTAAAAATACTCAGTCCATTAGCATATTATCTCATTTACCTACTTAAGTTGAGGGTAAAGAGACTTAATCTAAGAAATGTTTTACTTATTTCTAGATCATTTATCAGTGTACCTGGTCCATCCTTTTTGTCAAAAATAAAAAAGTCTTTAGTTTCTGGGATCGCTGGGATGCTGACTGAAGAGATGAGGCACTAGGATTAACTTCACCAGTCTGGAGCAGGCTAGTTGCACGAAAAATATCACCATGGTAACATGTATTATTGCTTTGGTGAAGCAGAATCAAGGCTTAATTGAACCAGGATATCCAGAAAATCCTGTCTTAAAAATTCTCTGAGCAGAACTATTATAATCACAATAAAACTGATCTTCATTTGGTAAATTAAGTTACATGAATCGGTTTATGGATGTTTTTAGTTAACCTGCCTGTTAGATTATCACACTCAGAGCCTGGAGGAGTTCACCACTACAAGATGCAAACAAGTTCTGGAAATGCTGAGATTATCTGGATTAACTCAGGGATGGCTGTTAAATTAATAATATTTCTTGTTAAAGTTTGTGTGAATATTTTATGTAGATCCTGTTTTCGTCTCCCTCTGCTAATGGTGATGGTAATGAAACAAATGTGTAACGTGGAAATGAGTCCAGCACTGATCCACTGCTGTGCTCTGAATCCGTTTCTGCAGGTTTGGAGTCGTCGCGCAGCAGGCTGAGGAACATGGTGACGCTGCGTCTGTCCGGCCTGGACATCAGCGAGTCCACCCTCAGGCTGTTGCAGCGCCACATGCCCCATCTGCAGACTCTGGACCTGGCTCACTGCAAGAACGTAACGGATTCCTGTATCACGCTGCTGGCAGCCGCTGGGACTCACACCCGCAACAACCTCAGCGAGCTGACTCTGGCTGGTGGGTGTCTGAGCACCGGAAACCTGAAATAAGAGGAAACGCGTCTTTCTGATGCCTGACTGTTTGTGTTTGGACAGGTTGTAACCAGCTGAGCGACGGCTGCCTGTCCTACATGAAGAGGTTCTCCTCTCTGACTCTGCTGGACCTCAGAGGCTGTAAGGGTGTCAGCAGACGGGCCTGCGACGCCTTCATCTCTGACCTGTCCCATGTTGCCCTCTTCTGTATGATGGAGGAGAAGCTCATCCAACGCCTGGACTGAACGCAGAGAATCATCATTTGATGACAGCGGAGCGGTCAGACCGGACTGCGGCCCACATAATGCAGGACTTTTATCTTAGTCATTTCATTTAACACCTGATCCCGTCTGTTTTTATTTTTGGTGTTTTTTTTGTAAATAGAAGATCTTTGTATGCAGATGTTGTTTGGCTCCATCTGAGCAGAGTATCAATAAAAGATAATTCCTCTGTTCTGTATTTACTTTAATGGTACATTATAGCAGCAGGAAAAGCTGTGGTTCTGGTCTAGAAGCATTGGGCGTCATGTGGCAAAATGTTGGTTTACTTTTGATCAATTTCTCATCTTTTCTGCTACTTTGGGATTTTATGAATGCAATACATCAGATTCAACAAACATTCTTAACTTCACTAAATGATCTTCATAAACCAGATGCTGTCCATCTGTGTGTAAGTCAGCGCGCATCCAGAGAAACAAATCTGCATAACTATGCCCCAATACTACCATATCTGTGGGAGGGATACGACTTCCCCTCGCTGTCAGGTGTTCATTCTGACGTTAAACACGAGGAAGGAGAAGAACTTCTGGTTCAGAGATCTAAAATCTGCTGATTGAGAGCTGAGCAGCAGCACTAATGGACCAGGAAAAACCGGATGGTGAGGAATAAATGACAGGAGCTGGAAATGATGTGGCTGCACTGTTACAGACATGAAAATAAAAAGAAAAATCATGAAAACTTATTAAAAGCTACTGATGGAGGCCAGATGTGCAACATATGATGTAAATGTTTAATCAGTTTTACCATCAACCATCATGACAACATTCTGCTAAATCTTTTAACACAGACACACCTGTGCTGTACATCCCCAGACCACGTCGGTCATCCCTTCATCTCCTGCAGATACGCATCAAATGTTGACAGTAAAACTTTATCTAACAAAGTCAGAAACCCAATTATAGTAATAATCAGAGGTCAGATGCACATGACCTAATCGGATGAGGACAGGTATTTAAAATGACCAGCAGGTGGCGCCCTGCGTCAATGGCACCATCAATCATCCACTTTATTCCACCACCTTGTCCTTCATAGCCAATAAATGGGACATTTAGGAATCGGGAACTTATGTTAGGAACTTTATGTGTGAAAATATCTGGAAAAACAGCCAAGATAAACCAATGAGGTTATCCCTGCATTTCCATCCACTGACCTAAAAAGTTTAACCTGGTTGAAGCAGGGAGAACATGCAAACTCCATGCAGAAAGACCCTGGGCTGGGAATCAAACCTTCTTGCTGCAAGGCAGCAGTGCTACACTTCAACACCTCGCAGCCACTATTATTAAATTTGGTTTATATTAAGTAAATGTACATTTTGGATTCATTATTTTTGAATTGAGTTGAATATGTTTAGCAGATTTTTAACTGAATGAGCTTTTTTTAATTAAGATTCTAGCTGTAGGCTTATTAAATAGAATTATTTTCCCTATAATTTGGTCTAAATGCTTATTTAAATGTACGTCCATCAGACCAATAATACAGCTTTGCTCCAGAGGAAAGACCCCGAAGTGAAGAGAGGTAATCGGGAAAACTATTTGAAAAGAAAGAAATTTCTAAATCTGACAGAAAATTTTGGAAAAACTAAAATCTTTGAAAAAGGATTCTTATCAATTCTTTATCTTTTTTATATCAAGTCATTTTTTTAAAGTTTCATTTCTGTATTGCATTTTTTAAAATGTATTATTATTCATACAGAACATGTTTTGTGCAGCAACAAAAACCCCTCAAAATTCAATCTTCTATGCTCCTTTTTAATGCCTGCAGAAACACTGAGCCTGGTTGATTTCTTCTCCACTGTCACCACATGCTTGGTGTGAAATTGCACAGAAGTCAATTCCTTGATGACAACAGCTGTTTCCTTAGAAACCAAACTAACCTGGAAGTTATTGAAGTAACTCTGTGCAGTGGCTAGAGGTGACAGAAATGGTGAATCGGAGCAGTTTATAAAATAAACCGTGATCTGATGTTAAAAAACTGATCAACCTTAAAAACAAGCATAAACCTGGTTTGTTACATTTGTTTTATGGTTATAAACCATCGTGGTTTTGTTTTAAAGCATTTTTTTACAGAGTAAATATACCCAAAGAGAGCAGATCAGAGCTTCAGCAATAAACATACAGACCTGCTGATCATGTTATGGATTCAATTAAAATCAGTTTATTTCTATTGCACCAATTCACAACACATTTCATCTCAAGGCAATTTACAATAACAATCCAACCAGATCATCCAGTCAGATTGGTTAGAGGTTTTCTATCTGAGGAAAACCAGCTGATTCATAGTTGATAGCGGCTAGTTGGACCTCACAGAGGCATTCATATTCATGGAGTTTTCTTTCACATCCATCCAGCCCCTGCAATCAAACCTGTGTTACCAACAATCAACATTTTCCACACAGAACGTTGATAGTTCCCTTTATTTTTATTACAAACACAGAAACTAAAGAACAATGTGTGAACAGTCTGCTGAACGCCGGGTCTCTGCTGTCTAGTAGCTCTTGGTCGCCTCATACTGGTCGGGGAAAGGCAGGCTGATGTGTCCGCTTCCAGCAACCAGGGGAAGGATTCCAGCGTTGGGCACGACGTTCCAGGATAGAGTCAGAGTGACGTTTTTATTGGACCTGAACGCAGCACAGACACCACAGTCAGCCAATCCCATTCAGGAACATGGGTTAAACATCAGAAGCAGATCAGGCTAAATAAGCTGCTCTGGTGAACAGACCTGCAGGGAAAAGGATCGAAAATAAAAACTAGCGGGATGTTTCTGACCTGAGTCCGTTTCCGTCATCGAAGAAGAAGTATTTGGACTTCATGTCTCTGAGGTTCAGTTTGGTGTTTTCCCCTCGGAGAACGATCCTGTCCCACAGCACCACCTGGTTCAGAGACTAAAACACAAAGATTGAAACTTTTCCTCGTCAAGTCACTGATAAACGACCTGCTGCTGTTCAGCAGTCAGATCAGCGCTGATCCAGCCACACAGGCTCAAAGCTCAGCGCCGTCCTTTACTTACATTGCTCTTTGTGGCGTATTCAGCAGACAGGTAGAGGAACAGCTGTTTGACGTTCCAGTCGAAAATCGGCTCCAAATGTGGGAAAGGTTAAGGAGCAATAAAGCATGTTTACCTCCATAAATGAACATGTGTTTAATAACCTTTATTTCATTTACAGGAACGACTGACAGCAGAACTAAGCTAAGATTCATCAAACCATCAGATAAAACTGTTATAACCTGCTAAACCTACTTCATGAGATTTAAACCCTGTTCCTTCATCAACATCAAGCATAAAGTGATATTTTACTGGATTCATTCATCTCTGATTACTGATGTCTGTGCTGAAGGCATCTAATCAC